ACTTCACGCTACGTAGACAAATGGAAGTTTGTCAAGAACGAAAAGGGCGAAATGGAAAGGACGATCAGGTTACGCTTGGTACTCCGTGGCTTCATGGACCTTGAAGCCTTTGATGTCGAAACCTTCTCTGGCACGGCAAGGAGGTCAAGCCAGAGACTGCTCGCAAGTTCTGCTGCATGCAACAAAGCTTGGATCATCGCTTCCCTGGACATCAACATGGCTTTCTTGAAGGGACTGACCTATAGCGAGCTCGCCGCGGCAACGGGCGAGAAAGAGCGTGTGGTGTGCTTCACACTACCTCCTGGGTCAGCAGCTGTCCTTCGCACACTGCCAGGCTTTGAGTCATATGACGAATCAAAGCATTGTCTTCGGTGTCTGAAGCCGGGGACGGGCACGAAGGATGCTCCCAGGGCATTCTCGCTGAAGCTCAGGTCCATCACTAGGAGCTTTGGGCTACAGCCTACTTCATACGACGAAGAGTTCGAGATGAGCTCAAACCTCTTGACAGCCAAGCACGTTGATGACATCAATATGACTGGGAAGGAAGATGCTATTGACAAGTATGTCAAGTGTGTTGAAGATACGTTTGGGAAGTGCAAACTGAACAAGCACACATACACAAACTGTGCCGTTCGGTATAACAAGACCGATGATGGGAGCGTCACTCTTGATCAGGACGAATACATCAAACAGCTTCGTCCTATCACACATCCAGAACTCACAGGAGCTGATCCTGAGAGCAAAGCGACAAAGACGATTTCTGATATGTTCGTCAGTCTTCGTGGCGCTCTAGCCTATGCGTTGATCACGCAGGTATGGCTGATGGTCTATGTTGTCTCACTACAACGTATCCAGGAACCGACAAACATCCAGGTACGACGACTAAACGCGGTTACCAGGAAACTACAGGCAGGTCCGAAGAAGATCGTGTATCAAGCTATGACTCCAACAGGAGAAGTTGACCTGCATAGCGATTCTGGCTATCGCCGTCTCAATGGAGATGAAGACGACGAAGTCAAAGGCTATGGTATCCGCGGGGCTAACCTGCTGAGGCGTGGCCACACGCAAGCGGGGAAACCCGTCGTGCACCTGGTGGACGCATACTGCAAGTCTCATCGACTGCAGGTGCGTTCGAGCTACTCTGCGGAAACACTGGCAGCAGCCCACAACTTGGAAGACTGCTACCCGACCATTGTAACGCTCCACGAGCTACACTCGGGACCATTGACCCCCACACAGTTAAAGAACATATTGGAAATGGGTGGTCTATGTATCAAAGTCACTCTGACTATTGATGCCGAGTCTGTCTTCAAGTCTTTGTCTAGCAAAGATCTGAAGAAGCCCACAGAATGTACTCTGCTTGGGCACATTAGCTGGATCCGCCAGATGATGGAGCGCGGAATCGTTGAAAGCGTTCAATGGTGTGACACGCGGGATATGACTGCCGATGGTCATACCAAAGGTAGTATTGACCGCGCGTTGCTCCTACAAGTAATGGCCGGCCAGCAATCCTTCAAGCACGAGCTGAAGAAACATACACCGTATAGGGCGGGCAGGTCGTCTCAGGACGGCCCTGCCTCCCGAGCTAGCGGGGAAACCCGCGTGCAGGTGCGCTCTAGTAGCGAGGAAACTCGCCGGTAGCGAGGCTACTCGCGCGCCCTTGCCTTGTAGGCAGCCGCTGCTGCTTAGCACTGTTTTTCCGCGTAATGTAGAAGTGCGGTGCCTGCTCGTCTCCTCCCCCTCCGACTTTAAACGGAGAAGGTTAAAGGCGAGGTATAAATCGAGCATGTACCGCTGCCGTGCCTGGCTCAAGCCGGGCCCGGCCAAATATATGACTGTGCCTCACCGAGGCGCACGACTGGTATCTGAGATCGGAAAATACCTTTTCCATTGAAGATGCCTCTTCTATCCTTTACTCCAGATCCCATGCTTCGTCTCGCTCTCTTGCTCATGCGATATGAGCCAAAGCCTGGGATATGGCAACGCTTGAAGCGTAACACATACCTAAGCTTACCAGCATGTTTTCGACTCCAAGAGGCCCCAGAGACTGCCAACATGGCATCCAAGACGGCAAATATTGCCCCAATATGCCTCCAAGACGGCCCAAGATGCACCCAAGACAACCTAAGATGGCCTCAAGATGGCCCACGACGGCACAAGAGGCCCACAAGAGGCCTCCAAGACGGCCCAAGAGGCCTCCAAGAGGTCCTCCAGGAGGGTTCAAAGTGGCCCAAATCAGTGGTGTTCCTTAGGTTTTTGAAGGATTTTGGCATTTGCGCCTTTTCGGCATTCCGACGGCCCAAGAGGCCCAAGAGGCCCCCAAGATCGCCCACGAGGCCTCGAAGATGGCCCCATGACGGCCTAAGAGGCCCCCAAGACGGCGCCAAGAGGGCCCCAAGAGGCCTCCAAGATGGCCAAAATGGCCTCCAAGACGGCTAACATGGCCCCAAGATGCCTCCCAGACGGCCCAAGATGCACCCAAGACGGCCTAAGATGGCCTCAAGATGGCCCAAGACGGCCCAAGAGGCCCCCAAGAGGCCTCCAAGACGGCCCAGAGGGCGTCCAGGAGGTCTTCCAGGAGGGCACGAAGAGGCCCAAATGACTGATGTTCCTACGTAAGGTGTTTGAAAGATTTTGGGATTTGCTTCTTCTCGAGATTCCAACGGCTCAAGACGGCGCAAGAGGCCTCCAAGATCGCCCAAGAGGCCTCGAAAATGGCCCCGTGAGGGCCCAAACGGCTCCCAAGACGGCCCCAAGAGGGCCCCAAACCGGCCCAAGAGGCCTCCAAGACGGCCAAGATGGCCTCTAAGAACCCCTAATATGCCCCAAGAGGGCCCCAAGAAACCCAGACAGGCCCCCAAGACGGCTTCCGACGGCCAGAAAGGCCCCCATCAAGCCCCCAAAGGCCCCCCAAAACCTTCCAAGAGGCCCCCAGGAAGCTCACAGGAGGCTCCAGGAGTGCCCCAGGAGGCGCCCAAGAGGCCTCCTCCCCCTCCTCCTCCTACTCCTCCTCCTCGTCATTTTTCCTCATCCTCCCCCTCCTCCTCTTCTTGCTCCCCCACGCGTTCCCCGAAGTCTTTCCAAACCGACTCGGGGAACAATTGGCCCGATAGCTTGGCCAAGCTCTGGCCCAGCTGTCGGCCACAGAGGCGCTTCCAAAGGGGCAGGGGGCGGCGGTGACTCGCCGTAATTAGGCGTCGATCCGCCGCCCCCTGTTGGCTTGCCAGAGGGGTGCCCGGCGTGCTAGATTCTTACGGTTTTGGTTTTGGTTCTTTTTCCAAACAGAACTCCCCCTGGGGCTTCGACCCGTCCTGCCGGCCACCCGAAAGGATGCCGAAAATTTGTCCCCGGCTCCAAAAGGTTTTTCCTGGTCCAGACGGCTCCACGACGGCCCAAAATGGCCTCCAAGATGCATCCCAGACGGCCAAGAGGGCCTTGCACCCAAAATGGCGCACAATAGCCTCAAGATGGCCCAAGACGGCCCAAGAGGCCTCAATACGGCCCAAGAGGCCTCCAAGAGGTGCTCCAGGAGGGCCCGCAGAGGCCAACATCATAGATGTTCCGTAGGTTTTTGAAGGATTCCGCAAGAGGCCTCCAAGACTGTCCAAGAGTCCTCCAAGACGTTCTCCAGGAAGGCCCGAAAGGGTCAAAATCATAAATGTTCCTTGAATGTTTGAAAAGTTTTCGTATTTCCTTCTTTTCAGATCTCCGACGGGCCAAGACGGCCCAAGCGGCCCAAAACATCGACCCAAGGCCCAAGAGGCCCCCAAAAGGCCCCCAAGAGGGCCCCAAGAAGGCCCGAAGACGGCCCAAGAGGCCCCCAAGACGCCCAAGATAGCCTCCAAGACGGCCATGATGGCCTCCAAGATGCCTCCAAGACGCCCAAGATGGTCGTCAAAACGGCTAAGATGGCCCAAAGATGCACCCAAGACGGCCCAAGCTGGCCTCAAGATGGCCCAAGACGGCCGTGTATGCCCGCAAGAGGCCTCCAAGACGGACCAAGAACCCTCCAAGACGGCTCTGAAAGCTCATGGTGGCTTCGAGGGCGCCCGAGAGAGCCTCAAGACGGACCCACCAGAGGCCCCAAGATGGCCCCAAGATCGCACAAGAGCGTCCCAAGTGGGCACCAAGAGAGGATGTGTCGGGCCCCGACGGGTCGACGCTAATTCATGCCCAACCTTTTTCGGATCGGTGCCGTCCCAAGAGGGCCCCCAAGGCAACATTGAGCAGCCCAAGATAGACCCTAACGGCCACCTGAATTGCCCCCCAGAGCGCCCAACGATGGCCTCGACGCGTCTTCGATGTGCTCCCATGCCGAAAGGTCCGCGACGACCTTTATGGTTGACTCCCGGGTCTGCCCGGGCTGCTCCCGAGCTTCGGTGTGACAGCTGCCCTCCCTCTTTGCTCCTCTGCGTGCTCCTACGCCGCGATGATCCAGGCAACTCGCTTGGGGATCGTCTCCAGAGGGGCTGGTGAGCTACGCGAGGCGTCAACAACAGTGCTGTAATGGTCCCAAGGAGGCGGAGGAGGAGGAGGAGGAGGAGGAGGAGGAGGAGGAGGAGGAGGAGGAGGAGGAGGAGGAGGAGGAGGAGGAGGGGGGGGAGGCCGGAGAAAGGGCGGAGCTTGCCCCTCCAAGGGCACGACATGACGCACAGGTGGCCGTCTCGATCATCCAGGCCGCAGGGCCTTCAGGTGCCATCCCCCTCCCATCCCCGTCCCCTCTCCCCCTTGCCCTCGCACAGGTGTGTGTAGCCTCCCCCACGCCAGCTCCCGATATGCACATCGGCAGACTTCACAGACCGCACGCGGCCCGAGCAGTAGCCCAGGCCCGACCGTGACCCGAACGACAGGCTGACCCGAACGACCGGCTGGGGAAATGACCCGAGCGACTCGATGGGCCCATTCCATCCCATTCCTCTCCTCTCTACTCCACTCCTCTCCCCACCTGGCGCACAGAGGCGGCGACCTGGAGCCCCCGCGCGGGTGCTGGGCGGAGGGGCCTGTGCCGCGAGCGTGGGCGTGCCTGTCGAGCGTCTCGGTGATGATGCCCGTCACGTCCTGCCGGGGATGCCGGCTGATACCCACCAGGCCCACCCCGACCCCAGGGCCCAGGACTTCGTATACAGCCAGCCCGTATCATAAGGACGCGCGGTAAGGCTGCAAAAGGGCCCTTGAGGCCCACGCAAACGCTGTTTGAACGAGGCCGGCCAGCGAAGGTCGCTCAGGAAGGGCTGAAGGGGCCAGGATGCAAGGGCACGCAATTGGGAAGGGTGCCCATCCTTGCTACGTGGGTTGACTGTGCCCACAAGGCGACCCCAGGACTTCGTGGGCACGCCCGGGCCTTGCCCAAGAGAGTCAGGGAGCACTAAACCGGGTAACGCCTAAACGGGGTAACAGACCCACCATGGGATCCAGGTAGAAAACTGCAACGACCTGAACAGAAAAATGAACTGCATTTTTCTGCAACGCAACAAAAAAAACTGCACTGCAATTTGTTGGCAACTAGTTGCGGAAAAACTGCAAGCAAGCCCCACAGACCGGGTAACAGGGGGGCCTTAAACAAAAAGTTGCAGTGCAGCAGCCGAAAATGTGCAACGCAGCCAGCATGTGGAAGGTGCTGCATCGAACGCGAAAGCAAACAAAAAAACTGCACTGCAACAAAAGGGCCATTTGATGCCTCGAACAAGCCCTTTCCTGTTACCCCGTCTGCTGTTACCCCGTCTCTGGCTCCCTGAGAGAGGCGCAGCCACCCACCTCCGGGGGCCCGGGCTCGGCCAGGAGCCACGGAGCGGTGCGGGCGGGCAGTTGGCCTGTCCCCCGGCGTCCTCGTCGATAGTGGAGAAGATGTTCCCGTCGTAGTCCCGGGCCTGGGCGGGGCCCCAGGGGGAGGACCAGGCCTCCAGGACCAGGACGCGCAGAGGAGGGGGGGCGGAAGCGAGGGGGAGGGAGTGCGTGGGTGCTTCTCTTAATTCTCCGTCGCAGCAGCCGCGCGCTTCGATGCCGACCCCGCCGGCTCGCGCGCGTGCCGCTCGCGCCAACGAGCCACGCGAGCGAAGGCCGCGACGCCGATGTGCGGCGCGAGGGAGGCGGGAGGCGGGGGGGGGACCCTGACCTGCCAGGAGGGCTAAAAAATAACACCCGACTTAAAAACCTATCCCAGAGCTATTCTACGTCTTGGTTTTAGGCTGTTTCGCCAAGCTTTTTAGGCTTTTGGGTCTCCAATGCTAAAAAATAGCTCTCTGGAAGGTCAGGGGAGGAGGGAGGTGGGGAGCCTCCGTGCCCGCTTCCGGCCCGAGGGGGGGGGGGGGCGCCAGCCCGGGGCACGAGCGGGCTCCAGGCGGGGGGGGGGGGGGCGGCGCCCCCGCGCCCCGCACCCGTGCTCGGACACGCCCTGCTCGGCTCGTGCGCCTCGGACACGCCTCGCTCGGACACGCCTCGCTCGGACACGCCCTGCTCGGACACGCCCTGCTCGGACACGCCGCAGCCTCGGACACGCCTCGTGCCCGAGGCTGCGGGGCCACGCCCTGCTCGGCCCTCGTGCGCTCGGCGGGCGCGCGGCCGTGCCTCCCCGCCCGCCTTGCGGGGGGCCCTCGGGGGAGCCCCGGCTCCTCGCTGTGTCGGGGCGCCCGGCGAGAGCCCCCTCGGAGGAGTGCGCGCCGCTCGCCCGCTCCTGCCTCCGCCCCTGCGGGGGAGGAGGGCGGCTGCGGGGCCCCGGAGAACGCCGCGGCGGCGGGCCGTGCGGCGTTTCTGGCGGCCCTGAAGACCCCGCCGCACCGCACGGCCTCGCCCTGGCGCGGCTGCCGGAGGGCCCCCCCCGCGGCGGCCCGAGGCGCCCTCGGAGCACGAGCCGAGGCGCCCGCGTCCCAAGCGGACCGTGCGGCCGCCCAGGGCCCCCACCGACCCATCCCGCGGTGCGGTCACCGCACCGTCTGGGGCTTCCCCGTGCCCCTCTGTCCGAGCAGACCTCGCGCGCCCCGTGGGGCCATCGGAACTCTAGCATTATCGGGCGTGTCCCCCTACAGGGGGATTGTCGACGAAAAATCAAAAATACTCAAAAAATGCACCAAAAATGTTTAAAAATACTCAAAAAATAGTCCCCGGACTATTTTGGGTTATTTGTTGACTATTTTTGGGGTATCTTTTTTATTTTTCATCGAAAATCCCCCTGTAGGGGGACAGGCCCGACTTACCTCTAGCATTGGTTTCTCTGTGCGCTCTTGTTGATGAGCTGTGGCCGCAGGACTGCGACCGCCACGACGCGCGCCCTGCGGCCACCGACGCAACGCAGCATGCGTGCGGGGAGGAGTCGTGGCCCGAGGCTGGAGCCCCCTCGCGACAGATGGCCCTCTCGAGTCGCTCCCCTGACCTTCCAGGAGGGCTAAGAAATAGCACCCGACTTAAAAACCTATCCCACAGCTATTCTACGCCTTGGTTTTAGGCTGTTGGGCTCAGTTTTTTAGGTTTTTAGGTCTCCAGTGCTAAAAAATAGCTTTCTGGAAGGTCAGAGTCTGCTCCGCATGGCGGGAGGCTGGGGAAGAGCTCGAGGCGTTGACGCCTGGGGGCCGGGAAGTGGCCAGCTGTCGCGCCAAAGCATGGCGGGCCAGAACCAGCGGCGCGACACGATGCGGAGCAAAACATCCCGACCCTAAGCTCCAAGGTTAGCTCCATGGGCGACCGATGACCCCGGACCCTGCAACCCTGTCCTTCGCGATGCTTCGGAGGTGGTTCCAGGACGACAGGGCTCCAGCACGTGTTGCCCCGAGGCGCACCCTTGGCAATCGGCGACCCAAAACGTGGTGCCCTGGCACAATGCAAGTAAGGTTGCTACGACTGCTAATACGGCATCATTCTACTGCTAAGTGCTGATCCCGCTGCTACCACTGCGACTGCGACTGCGACCACCATCGTCACTGCCACTGCCTCTGCCGCCGCTATATTACGAGGCTGTGCCCCTATCTCATTGCTTGCATACTCATCTTTAAACTAATGCGAACTGTATTTCAAGCATCGTCACTGTATTTGCAATGCTCCTGACCCCATGAGTATCTATCATGGGGGAAACCATGAACGCATGCGTCCTGGGCGTCCCAATACTCCACCGGGTTGGTGTCCATCTGCCTGCAGGGGTGCCCAACCGACGGACTGCTGCGGTCGATATCGAAGGACCACGCGTTACGACAAGGGTTTGGGACGCTGCTTTGCTGCACTGTTCCAAGACTGAAGGTCCATCAATGGTCGAATGCCTCGCGGTCGCCAGGATGGATTAGCTGCGGCGGTGGTCAATGACCACCTGTCTCAATAATCGCACGGCCAAATAATGAACCAATGTTTGCCAGCGTGGACCTCAAACAACGCAATAGGCCGGAACAAACATTATTACGGCAACGACGCGGCAACGAGGCAGCAGCGGGCGGCAACGTGGCGACTCCTCGGCATACTCATAGAGGCGGCAGCGGGCGGCAAATTGGCGGATCCTCGGCATGCTCACGCAGCACACGAGGCGACAACGGGCGACAACGAGGCGGCAACGAGGCTGCTACGTGGCGAATCCTCGGCATAACCGCACAGGTGGCAGGCGTGGCGAATCTTCGGCATACCCACACAGCGTACGAGGCCGCAACGACGCGGCAATGAGGCGGCAACGAGGCGGCAACGGGCAACAACGTGGTGAATCCTCGGCACGCATCTAGAGGCGGCAACGGGCGGCAACTTGGAAACCCTCGAAGTAACCACGCAGCGCACGAGGCGGCAACGAAGCAACCAAGACTCGGCACGGGCGGCAGCGTGGCCCGCCCTTTGCATATAGACACAGCGCGCGAAGCGGCAACGATTCGACAACGAGCTGCAACGGGCTGCTACGTGGCGAATCCTCGACATACGCACACAACGCACGAAGCGTTAACGCCGCGGCAACGAGGCGGCAACGGGCGGCAAACTGGCGAATCCTGGGCAGACTCCCGCAAGCGGCAACGGGCGGCAACTTGGCGAGTCCTCGGCATACCCACGCACCGCGCGCGGCGGCAACGACGCAGCAACGAGGCGGCAACGGGCAGCAGCGTGGAGGCGGCAACGTGGCCTATCCTCAGCGTGTCCACACAGCGCACGAGACAGTGCCGATGCGGCAACGAGGCGGCCACGAGCGGCACTGGGCGGCAGCGTAGCGAATCCCTGGCAGACCTGCACAGCGCACGAGGCGGCAACGCCGCGGCAACGCAACAGGCGGCAACGTGGTGAATCCTTGGCATAGCCCCACAACGCACGAGGCGGCAACGAGGCGGCAACGTGGCGAGTCCTCGGCATACCCTCACAAGCGGCGACGGGCGAAAATGGGAAGCAACGAGGCGAATCCTCGGCATACCCCTACAAGCAGCGACGGGCGGTGGCGAATCCTCGGCATACCCATCCAATTCCTTAGAACCATGTGCAAGAACGGGCAACAGTGAAGCGCTCGCTCACGGGGTAATCACCGCTTCGTGAATGAACGAGACATGGTGAATAACCGAACCATCGACGAACTCAGAGTTGTGTGAGCAATGCTGGGAGCGATCTCACCTCCTGGATGACACGGCGAATGAGATGTGAGCTGGGATCTCAAGCCTCAGGGCACACCGCTCAAGCACTCATTTCTGCGTCGCTGGTCCGCCTGCTCAAAGTGTCATGGTGGTCTCGCTGCGTGGGAGCCTCAGCCGACATCCTGGGTATACCCCACCTCAATCATGAGGGCGACAAGGACAAGGACCAATCTACTGTCCAGGATGGAAAGGACGAGGGCGAGGAAGGAGGGGGGCTACCCATTGCCGTCATTAGGGCCGACCCTCGAACGTCCTGGTGCGACGCGACGGTGCTGCTAAACCAAGGTGGCAAGGAGCGGTCAACTGCTCCGCCCTGGGCACAAGAAAAGACTGGCTCGTGCTCCAGCTCCTGCTCCTCCTCGCCTGCTCCCGTCGCCTGACTCCTCCTCCTCCCCCTCTTCCTCCTCCTCCTCCTCCTCCTCCTCCTCCTCCTCTTCCTCCTCCTCCTCCTCCTGCTCTCTCGGCTGCACGCCAGGGTGGCCCTCAGCACGCGTGACCTCTGGCGCGCGGCGCCAGACCCGACCGCGCGAGCCGCTGCCATCAGCATCGCGCTCCGCGATCCGGGGGCCCCTGCGGGCGGGCCCGCACCCGAGGGCCTCTCCGGAGAAGGGGCCACTCTGTGAGCAGGGACCGACCGTCCCGGCATTCCTATAGTCCCACCACGAAATGTTCTTGGAACCTCAAAAATGTTCTAAGAACAGAAACAATGTTCTTAGAACATAAACCCGATGCGTTAAAACAAGACAGACTCCGCCAGAAATGTTCTAAGAACATTCCGTGGAAGCCACACAAGGTTCGTAGAACATTGTTTGGTAGGGCTATAGGCGAGCCAAGACGCTTCGCCACTGCTTGAACTTTCGCGCGCAGACCCACCCACCCCTCCTCCCCTGGGCTGGCCGGCCGCGGCCACCAGGGCGCCTCCGAGGGGGCCAGTCAGTCCCAAAACCTTCACCTCCGAGCCACCAGATCTCGATCGATCGATCGGCGACGACGACGACGACGGACGACGACAACGGGGACGGGGAGAGATGCTGAGGGTCATGGATCATGGATTGGCCCCAGCCCGCAGACCGAGGTCCAGAACAGAGAGCGGCAAGACGGAGGGAGGAAAGAGGAAGGAGGCTCTCGGTCCACAGCTCGACCCTCCGGCGGCCACCCTTGGACGATCCAGGCGCCCAAGGGGCGCTCGCGGCGAGGCGCAGCTGCTGGAACGCACCCCGAGGTGGACAGCCACTGAGAACCACCTCGCCGGACATCCGAGAGGGAGTTCTTCGTCCCAGATCTATTGCTCATAGCCCCTGGGACTTCTGACGGACACCACCAGAGGCCGACATCGAAAAAACGCCGCCCAGATTGAACGAATCATACGTGGCACCCGCATTTGCGTATACGAGTGAGTGGGTGGCGGCGCTGGCGAACCGCCCCCAAGAGTAACCCCCTAATGCGTAGCCTCAAATGCAGTGTAGAGCCATCCGGCCACGAGCGCGCAAGAAGAAAGCAAGACCGTGCGGGCACCCTCGCACTCGATCTGGGGTCCCCCTTCTCCTCCTGGCGAGCCCGAGGCTCTGGAGATCCGGCGGCTCTCGAAGATGTCTCAGGCGCCGCGGCCTTCCCAGAGCGTTCCGGAACGCTCTGGAACGGATTTATCCTCGTCCTAGCTTCGTCCGACCAGCGCTGGGAGGGCCCCCGTGGGCCCGCACCAGAGAGGCCACGGCTGCGAAGGGTCACTCCGTCGCGAGGGGGGGCCAGTCTTCGGGCCACCCCGGCCGTGCGCGACGAGCCGGGCACTCCCGGGCTGCTCTCGACGGGGCGCAGCTGCTGGAAAGCACCTCGAGGCGAGAAAGAGCTCCGAGGACCTCGCTCGGATCGCTGGCGAGCGCCTCGATGCGGGAAAGGGCTCGTTCGCTCCGTCCGACCTCGCTCTCTATCGTCGGAGGCCCGGGCTCCCCCCTCCGAGGCGGCGCGCCCGGGGGGCAGCGAGAAGGGACGGGCCTTCTCAGAAGGCTCGGAAGTCCCCTGGACTTCTGACGAGTCTCCTGAGCCTTCCCCGAAGACACAGAGCAAAAACGTCTGAGAGGGCGCGAAGGCTTCCGAGCAGTCCCGCCGCCTGCTGAGGCGGCCTTCTCCTTCTCTCTTCCCCCCCCTTGCTCGCCGCCGGCCTCCTCCTCCCGTCGGGGAGACGTAAGACTCGGGTAAGGGGGACTCGGGTTGTCCTGACGGGGCCACCATGAACATGACGAGACCCGGTCTGAAACTTGAGACGCGAGCTCCCGCTGCACACATCCCACGAAAACAGCACCTTCATCAACATCCAGGACGCGCTCTTCAAACAGCGTCGGCAAAAAAACCCGAGTTCCGGCTTGCTCCGGCTACGCGCAAGAGCGACCCGCAAGCGTGGCCTTTGCTGCGCGGCTTCCGGGGGGGCGCGAGGAGGCCAAGCCCAAGCGCGCAGGCCGCTGCCATCGCACCGCGCTCAGCGATCGGGGGGGCCCCCGATGAGCCCGCACCAGAGGTCACTCAAGCCAAGGGTCACTCTCGGGCGTTGGCAGAACTGGGTCTAATGGAACCTGGTTTAATGATTGGTACCGGGCGCGCCCCCCCGCCCCATTTCCACTTACAGGAACTGCCGTCACCCGAAAAAAAACACCAGCTACGGCAAACCTGGTTCAGTGATCCTGGCCAAGTCGAGGGGCCCCAGGGCCCTACCACTAACCGCGCCCCCTTACCCGGGGTCCTGGCTATACCCGACACTCTTCCCAGACCCCCGACGTCATGATTTTTTTCATGACGTCGACCCCCAGAGGTTTCGACCCCTTCCCTGGGACCGGCTTTTCATCCTGAGTCGTTTTTTGACGGTCCCGAGGCCGGGTGAGGGCCCCCAGAGGCCAAAAATAATGAAAAACCGCCCGTCGTGATTTTTTCAGAACTCGAGGGGGTCTGGGTTACTCGAGCCCTCTACGTTTCCCCGGCTGCCGGCGGGAGCCGCGGCGCGGGCCTCCCGCGCGCCCGGGCCGCCGCCCCGCCGCGCTTCGGTGCCCCCGCGCTCCTCGCTGGGCCGCCGCCCCCCGTGCGCCGGAGGGCCCCGGGGGGGGGGGAGGGGGGCGGGCGGCCGTCGGAGAGCGCAAGAGGGGGGGGGCCCTGACCTTCCAGAGAATTATTTTTTAGCACTGGAGACCTAAAAGCCTAACAAAGCTGAGCGAAACAGCCTAAAACCAAGACGTAGAATAGCCCTGGGATCGGTTTTTAAGTCGGGTGCTATTTCTTAGCCCTCCTGGAAGGTCAGGGAGGCGGTGTGCGTTCTTTGCCCTAGCAAGTGCTATCGCCCTGCGGCGGAGGCATCTATCTTCTTTCCTTTCTTTCTGTTCTGCTGCTTGAGCTCTCCAGGCGCGCATGGAGGGCGCGTGTGCCGCGCATTGGACTCTCACTGCGCGGCCCGCAAGCGGCGGCGCGCACGGGGCCAGGGGCGGGGGCGCCGGCCGCGCTCCGCGCCGCCCTACAGGCCGAGCCGCCCGCGCGCCCGCTCGCGCGCCCGCTCGCGGCGGGCTGCCTGCGCCGCTCGCCCGCGGGCCCTGGCGTCGGCCGCCGTCGCGAAGCCGTGGGGCGCCAGGGCCTCGTCCAGCCCAGGCCTGC